AAATTTGAAAAGCTTATGAAGAATTCAAGAAACATGTTCCTTGCCTTTATTAGATATCCACTACCCATCCTCTAAATACCTAGCCCTTTGTCGAAAATATTTACCTAAATCAAACATGTTCTAAGCAACAAATCACCTGAAGTAAAATTCTATTTGAAATCCTCCAAGAAATTATTGTGATAATATTTGGGCATTGTTGATTTCTCTTAAATTCTGTACACAAACTGTTATGGCCAAAGACTAATAGAAAATAACTTCTGTTTCTGCAAAATTTGAATTGAGAGATTTCCTAACCATTATTTTTTTAATATTTTCATGTTTTTATTGATTTGACACAATCGATTAATTTTGAAGACAAAACCATTCAATTCGAATTTCACACAAACCGAACCATAGATATACTAGTTTGAAAATACTATTTAAATCTTTTTAGGTTGTTAAAATTTGCAAAGCAAAAGTTTTGCTTTGTTTCATTATGCCAATATTTCTATTACACCTAAAAGTATGCAACACATTTTGTTTTAATTATGTTTTGTTATCTTTAAATTCTCTTAAGAAATTCCTGCCTTCAAGACTATCATTCTTATTTAAAAAAAAACCCATTAGTTAATAAAAATATATTCAGCGAATGTCTGTGTGTGTTTTTTTTTTTCATAACAATTAACATAAAAAACAAATTTATATTTTTAATATTTTTTTTTCTTCTAATAAAATTAAATTATTTAAAAACTAGTTAAAAAAATTGTCTTATTGATTTCATTTCTCATATAGTTTTTTTGTTTATCATTTATTATTTTGTTTTTTTTTTTCTCTTAGCTCTTGGTTTGCATTTGAATGTAGTAGAGTTTTTGTTTGTTTTGTTGTATTGATAAATTTGAATTTTTGTTTGTTTCTTGTTGCTGTTGTCTTGTATTTTCTTGTTGTTGTTCTTAATTTTCTAATAAATTGTTTGTTTTTTGCCATAAAAACTAAGTTGTTTTTTGTTTTGTTTTCTCACTTATCCTTAGGTATGTATATATATGTTTTAAGATTCCCATTTTTTTGTATTTGTTTAAAAATATATTTATAATAATATTAATAATAATATAATAATAACACTATATCAGCAAATACACAAAAAAAATTTGTTCATTTCATTTTTTTTCTGTTCTTCTCAGTTTTGTGTGGGGTTGTGGTTTTGTTTAAAACGAAACACAGTTGATATTCTCATATATATATATATATGTATGTATATATTTAGGTAGGTTCTTCCTTATTTCCATATTATTCATTTTTTTTGTTGGTTTGTTTTGTAGTAAACGTATGTAGTTGTTTTATTATGCGTGAATATATGTTTTTGTTTTGTTGGTTTCATATATATACTACACAATTATGTATGTATGGTTATGTATAGTTTTGTTTTAGAAATATGTTTATGTTTTGTTCAATAGCTTAATTATGTATTAAAGTTCAGTTTTTTTTTTGTTCATTTTCCAGCTACTATAAAAGAAAAAAATATTCTGGTACTATAATTATATTCATTTTCAAAGAGGTGTTGGGTGGTGGGGTTATGAAATGTTTTATTTTTGTTATTTTGTAGAGATCTTAATAACATTGTACTACAAGCCAAAAAACTAATTTCTGTAGAATTAAAATGCCTTTCCATGTATGTTTTTAGAGATGTGATATGGTAGCTGGGATGTTCATGACTATTTTAGAATATTGCAGATTTTTAACACAGCAAAAATTATTAATTTAAAATTGCCTTTTAAGTTTTAATTCCTTTAGACTTTTCAAATTTAATGTGGACCAAATTTTCTTTAAATTTAATCGAGATCGAAAATAAATTGATCGTTGCCGTTAGCAATACCTTTATAAATTCCTGTCTCAAGTCAAAAAAGTCAGTAAAAAACTCAAAGATATTGGGAGAGCAATCTTTCAAGAAAATCTTTTATCTTTCTCATTTTGATTTTAAACATTTTGGGTCAAATTATGCCAATTGGTAAGGATTAGACCATTTTTCATAGACGCTTTCGCTTGCAAAACCTATTTTATTAAACTACCTACCTACCTGTTTCTTTCATTCATTTCTAATTTCATGAGAGCATTTGTTCATCATCAAGGACTATGATTCGAATCGGCTTTAATGATTCGGAATAAGAATATCACGTCTTACATAAATATTTATGGTAAATTCAAAAAAAAAAAAAAAAAATAAAATAAAAGGTTATAGGATCTCTAATTGAAAAATATTGCGATTCGACTTTTTATTCTTCCCGCCAACAATAAACATATTCGTATCTGAAAATTATTTATTCCTTTAACCATTTTGCTCGTGTAACAAAGAATTTCCCAAATGCACGTTTCTTTATCCTTCTGAGAGATGTCAATTTTTATTTAAAAAATATAATTTCATAAGAGCATTTTTTTATCATCAAGGACTATAAAATCGAATCGGCTTTAATGATTCGAAAAAAATATCGCGTTTTTTTAATGTTTAAAGTAAATTTGAAAGACATTTAATCGGATCTCTAATTAAAAAAACATTGCGATTCGACATTTTATTCTTCCCGCCAACAACAAAAAACGTATCAAGTCTCAACATTATTTATATGTTACAAATTAGTCTAGGGTAATGCGGAGGGAGGGAACAAATGACCTACCCATTATTCAAAAATTAAAAGAAAAGGAGTCATGGAAACCAATTTCACTTTTCTAAATCTCACATTTGAATTCAGATTCCAAAAATCGAATCGGGTTTTATTACACACCAAAAAATCTTCAAATATGGGTTTATGTGGGGGGAATGTCACTTGGCAAGTTACCATTGTTATGATATAATGTGAAATTAAACCGTTTATAACTTGCAACTAGTTCATTGAGGATATATAAGACTCATTTTCAACATTCTAATCCTACAAAAACCAGTCAAGCAGTACCATATCAAAATCAATTTTAAATCAAAGGAAAGAGTATTTAATGATCCTATGCATGATAGCATCCGATACTCTTTCTTATGCAGACAAACCAGAGAAATATTTTTTGAAATAAATGTGGTCGGAAAATGAGTTTGGATGACGTTCTTTATCTCAAAGCTTAAATTTGTTCCAAAAACTACAAGGAAATGTTTCACCCACATTTTTTCTTTTTCAACACTTTGTAATCCTAATTTTGATTTGATTTGATGATTTGAGAATATTACTTTCATGGCAATTTTTATGAATACGGTAATTGAGTCCCATCCTACTCAAAATAATCAATTAATAGGTCATTGGGTCTGTTTTTCAAATTTGAAATTTAACTAGAAAAACAATGAAAAATTGAAATTGTGTTTTTCTTTTGCATTCACTTTAATATCGTCATACAGAAACAGGCCCTCATGATTTAATGTTATGGAACTTTTTATACAGAACATTTTAACGGTCCATTAAAAAACTAAATTTTATTTTTCAATTAAGAACAAGTTGCTGCAATTATTGATAATATTTGGCACACAACAAGTGTTTCAATATTACCCTTTTAAAAATAGAGTTGAGACTAAGATTTTGCGTGTCAGTTTTAAACAAAAGCAGATTCTACGATTATAAAAGGTTCATATGCAGTATGACATACTTTGAACCATTTTATTTCGAAAAAATCTTGTTCGAGTTTTTATTAAAAATATTAACTGAATGATAGTTAGACGATCAGTAGAAAGTTATCAATGCTCTACAACTAACATACCCAAATAATCTCATATTCGAAAATTGTGTTTTTAGTTTTCAGCCTTTTCGAAAAAAAAACTAATTCAGACATTCGATATCGCATAATTTTCTTATCTAGGTAAATTTGTGCTACATGAAAAAGTTGATTGAAACAACTCGAGCATTAGACCCTTCTTTCAATGACTATTGAGTTAGGGGGCAGATAACAATTTGCTTTTATCCAAATGGAAATATTGCTTGAAACAAATTCAAATGTCTATTGACATAAAGGGCAGATTACAAGTTAAAAATGAAAAAAAAAAATACTTTTTAAAATGGTCAGAAAATGTTAATGGCGGCACAATTTAAAGCAATACATACATATGTTATTATATTCTGAAAAGTGTAACAATACACATTTTATAAAAACATTCATGAAAAAAAAAAAAATATATACAAAAGGATGGGTTACATTATGGGACCAATTACTTTATTTTAACTTCTGAGAATTAGCGCCTTCTTTGGAGGACATTCTAACTTGTAGGACAGATTACAGATCAAAAGAATATTTTCAGAAGAGATACATAGTTTTAGTTGAGGTGTATGCATTTAAAGCAGCAGATTAACATATTTCTAGATTTTGAAACGTTTAACGAAATCACATTTTAGGAAAACCGACATGAAAGAAATTCTACCATAACCTCACTCTACAAATAGATTTACCAATTTTATTTTTTCTAACCTGTAGTTCAATGCCTTTTTTCTCTCGATCATTCTATCGGCCACATAAAACTGTTTGCTGCTATTGCAGTAGTGTTCATCTTCTTGTGGCTGTTGTTAGCTGCTGGTAGTATTATCGAATAATATTCTAGTCATAAAGTGCTTTTGTTTTATTAAATTGGGGTATATTTGATTTTTGTTTGTTTTTTTTTTATTTGTAATAAATTGTTTTTGTTTTATTTTATTTTTTTATTCATATCCTAAACTTAAGTTCACATCCAGTAAATTGAATTATAATATGTTTAAAAAATAATGATATTTAAAAAAAAATAAAACGAGAATTACAAATTAATAATAAAAAATAATTTCACATTGTTGTTGTTGTTGTGTTTTCATAAAAAATTATATATAAAATATTATAGGCTTTTTTGTTGATTTATTTTTGTTGTTGTTGTTTCTATATGTAAATATATAAAAATATGTAAGTAGTAGGTAGTAGTAATAGTAGTATGAGAATAGAAATAAAAGAGAGGAAACAATTTAGTATGTAGTTTTGTAACTTCTTCTATCCAACGACAACTTGCTTAATACTTTTACACAATTTAATAATAATTATAATAATAATAATTAAAATTTATACAGTAGAATTTGTTTATAACTAATTTGTTATATAAAGAACATTTGGGTGACCTATAGAATAAAATACTTATAAACAAATACTACTGCTGCTGTTTTAATTTGATTTGATTGTTGGATTCCAATATTGTTGCTGTTGGTGGAGGTGGTGGTGATGATGTTGCTAGATTGGTTGGTTGGTTGGTTGTTTAGTTTCTTGGATTGGCTGCTTTCTTTCTTTTATTTTGCGAGGAGTTGTGAGAAAGCCTTTGAAGAGAAGCAAAATAGAAAATTTGCTTTGCATTTTCCGATGGTATGTTTGTTTGTTTGTTTCAGTTTGTTCTCTGTTAATCTGTGTAAATAATGTGGTGGCATTTGTTCGCATTACATGTTCGCCTTTGATTGTTAACAATTTATTTACTCCTACAATTAACTTCTTCATCTTCTGCTACGGCTGCTCCTTTAGCTTTGTTTTCTTTAAAAATTTGTTCTTTTCTTTTTCTCTATACTAATCAGATTTCCTTATATTTGTTTTGTTAAATTTAAATGATTTGTTTCCAGTTTTATAATTTTTATATTGTTTGTTGGTTTTTGTTTTTTGTAGCAGTATTATATACTTTGCTTAGCTTGCTGCCTATGTTCTTGTTCTGGTTGTTTTCCTTTTTTTAGGGTTTCTTTATTATAGTTTAAATTGTTTTTTTGTTTTTAATATATATTATGTAGATTTTTTGTTTTTTAAATGTTATGGGTTTCATTTTGCTTTTTTGCGTTAATTAATAAATCTCTCAGATTCATGCAGGTTTATTGAACAGGTTGTTGTTGTTGCTGGTATTGTTATAGTTGTTGCTTCAGATATTTGATTTAGAGAAACTGACACGTAAATGATTCGATTCAGATAACTGATGATTGTGCATTTTGATTAAAGCCAAGACGGCTTCTTCGACAGTGGAGAGCTGTAACAAGGCCATTTTGCGATCCCTACTGGAAGTTTTTGAAAAGAGAACAAAAAAGAGAAAATTATTTAGTAAAATTTGCAACAAATGCGATATTTGAAATGAATACTTACGGGAAAAATTTAAATGCCTTAACTTCAAATTTGTTGGAGGTGAAGGCTTCTTTTATATCTTCCTCGGTGCAGGATGATCTGGAAGATGGAAAAGAAAACAAATATTTAAGTAAAATTGGTATCAAATTTTAGAGTAAAATAACTTCTAGTCTAATTTTTATGTATTCTCTAGAATGAGAAGATATGCCAAAAAAAATTAAAAATAAAATATCAGAAAACAAAGAAGAAGCATTTTTGACCTCCACCACAAGATGGGGCTATATAAAAAATTTCAGTTTGTTTGCAGGACTGGTCTGTGACCTCTTTTCTCTGTCAATTGGATTTTTCCCGTTTTTTTGGGTGATATTTCATATTTCGTTCTCTGTGTAAAACATTCGCCATTTTGAAGTTACTGTTAATACAGGGTGCGAGAAAAAACTGCAACCAAATTCAGACTGCTGTCAATTCTAAGCCACTCGTCCGACAGCTGTTAAAATTATTCTAGTGACAGTTCATTATAACGTTTAGAAGCGTACAAAAGCATTTTGGTGAGAGTTTTCCAGAAAAAAAAGTGATTTGATTTCTTAAATGAGTGATTTCTTTATATTTGAAAAACCACAAGTGGCTATCGTAAGAGCACTCCAGCATTTAAATTTGAATAAATCTTTTGTGTCTCGTACCATCGCTCGTTACCGTGATACTGGTAGCGTATCCCAACGCCAAGGAAGTGGACGGAAAACAGCAACATCAGCAGAAACGGTTCGAAAAGTAAAGAAGCAACTTGATCGAAACCCGCGTTGCAATGGCTGAAAAATGGGTCGTGAGCTGCACATATCGCAGTATTCCAATATTCATAGAAATTCCAAAAAGTGCAAGAACTTACACCGCAACAGAAAGAAAATAGACTCAAAAGAGTTAAAGAGTTGCTTCGCTTGGCCGAAAGTGGCGAACTGCCGAATTTGGTTTTCTTCGATGAGAAAACATTAGTTGTTCAGCAGTTTGTAAACGAAAATGTGCACCTTCGGTTGGCCACCAGAACTCAAGCGCCGGCCATGGTGATGGTGTGGGCCGCCATAACAGCCGATGGTGGCATCAGACCACAGAGTTCGTACATTCCAACACCATCCACCCAAGAATGGTTACAAAATGAAGTTCTTCGCTTGATTTCCAGCCCACAATGGCCACCAAAATCTGGTCGGATACCAATCTGCTGGACTATTGTGCCTAGAGTATTTTGGAAAGCAAGGTTGGCACTGAAAAATACAGAAGTGTCGATCACCTCAAGCAAGCGCTTCGCTGGGAATGGGCTAAAGTACCGCAGAGCAACATTCGGGTAGGGTGTGACGGTTTCATTGGCCGCTTGAAGGTCATAATTCGTGCCAAAGGTGACCAATTCGAAGAAATATAAACTTGTTCTAAAATTTGATGCTATATCTGAGATTCTTTGCTTTAATTCAATAAAATTAAAAAAAAAATGTAAAAATTATGACGTTTGAATTTGTTGCAGTTTTTTTACCTCACCCTGTATACTTTATGGGGTCTACGACGAATATTTATGGATGGAAGACAAATTTAATATACACTTCTTTCAAGGTGGAGGGTATAGAAATGACCAAAAAGACGCCCTTTGTTGACTCGTATTTTTATCTACAATATTGCCTATGTACCTAAAATGAACAGATTTCGAGAAATCTGAATCCCAATATTTGCAAAGGTGTGTGGTCACCTTGTAAAAACATAGATAGACCTTCAAAATATTTTCATAAAAAAACACAGTCTTTATAGCTCTAGAATTTTAGTTTTATTTAAATCTTTGGTTCCTCTTCTATTGAGCTTACGATCTCGTCACTTGGGTTAATTTTTTTTGTCATAGAAGTTATTTTTAAAATAACTTCTGGGGAGAATATCCCAGAAAAAAAAAAAAACAAGGGAACTGAGAAGGATTGGTGGCTCTTTCCGAAACCTAGGTATTTCCCCCTGGTAAACATTACCACCGTTCTCCACTAATAAACAAACGTTGTTTTTATAAAAACAACAATAAAGGGATTAAGCATGACCATTTTACAACAACAAAAAAACTATGGTATCCCGAACAAACAAGCCAACACTGTTCTATGCTCTACCTAATATTCCTAAAAATCCGCATTTTTTTTTTTTGCAAAAATTATTTTATTAATTCTACAATTTTGTCTGAATGCTTCCTTACATACAACCCGATGAGAGGATATTTTCCAAAATCCTTTCAATATAATATTTATAATTCAAATTGTTTATATTTGAATTTTTAAAAGTTACAAAGCTGCCTCTTAAACTTTTGCATATTATTTTTGTTCTTTATTTATTTATTTATTTTGTTTTACTTACGGAATGTTACTTAAATGCAATGTTGCCGATGGCGGATAGATGTTTTGATAATTTTTGCTGCCTGGTTTCTTGAATCGATGCAATGGATTCTGGGAATAGTCACGTGTTAGACCAGCATCAGGTTGTCCCTCTTTCGGCAGTTGTACGGCTTGATGTTTGCTGGCCATAACACGTACTGCCTTACCCCACAAGCGTAATTTGTCAAGGTGATTCATAGCTGTAAATGAAGACAAAAAAAAAAGACAAATGTTAGAAGGAACAGACAAATAAATAAAAATTCTAAATTATAAAGAGACAGGGAATGGGTTGATTTGTGGAGAATTTTAAGAATAATGGTTGAAAAATTCCAAGTGTTAAATGGCGAAGGAAGAACTTTAAAACGAAAGAAACATTTTTGGAACACCAATTAAAAAAAAAAAAACTTTATTTTAAGTTTCCTCCCGATGTGACTTTCTCTGAAGCCCATAAATATCTAGTACCTTTATTATCAACTCTAACTAATTCCTATTTATTTATTCTATAAATTTTCAATATTCAATTTGTTAAACTCATTTTCGTTTATATTGTCTTATGGGTTATTTTCCCCAGAGTTTGGTCAAAGTGTTGTTTTATTAAAATACAACAACAAAAACGAAACGAAGGACCATTTCTCGGCAAAATGTCTCTGTATTTTCACTGCAAAAAAAGGCAAGGCAAGCAAAAACAATTTAAATTTTCTTTCAAAGTAATTTTCAGGGTTATCGCATTAAATAAAGTGTAAATGAGTTGTCGGTTGGTAGTTGTCCTTTTCTTTGGGCATTTATTTGCACAATATTTATGTCAGAAAGAACGAAGGCCACAAAAGGGAAGAGGGGAGGTGGTGGATGCGGAGGGTAGGGGAGCAGACTCCCTCAACATACAATACACCATACTACGTATTTTGGTATATAAAATTGAAATAAATGGAAAAAGAAATGCGATATTATGTGACCGACACTACCTACCGACATTGACTACTAATGTGCCACAAGGGTAGTGAAATAATGTTTATCCTTTTCAGTGGCAGGTCCCAAAGCTTACCTTTGCAAGAAACAAACCAAAAAAAAAAAATGAAATGGAAAATGGGCGAAAAAATGGCACATGCCGGCATAAAGCCGTTTTCGTAGTCACACATGGAAAATGTGCTCTAGAGGAGGGGTGGGGGTGCAAAAAAAGAGGCTGGGAGGTTGGTGTTTGGCAGTTGCATTTTTAATAGAGCTGTAAAACATAGTCAGGCTGACAGACTGTAGCAGTTGTAATACATACAAATGTATTGTGTCCGTATATTTGTTGCAAAAAAAAAAAAAAAAATGTAATCTCTGAATGAATTCTTGTGTGACTATCGAACAGGTAAAAGAATACAATAAATGTGTTTCGTTTTTTTTTTTCTTTTGTACCTTGGTGTGCATCTGTGTGTGTTTTGTCTGTAATAAACTATGTTCTACAACATCATACATTATTGTACATATTATATGTTGGGACCTACTGCAAATGACTGAGCGAACCAGCCAGCCAGCCAGCGAGCGGGTGAGTGAGTGTACTCTCAATACAAATGTAGCTTTTTATTGCATATTCTCATAAAATATTAACAAATTCATTTGTTACATCAACGAAATGGCAAAAATTGTATCCAGCCAGCGTGGGGAGTGTGAGAGAGAGAAAGAGATGCTAGCCATGCTATAAAAACATATGTGTGTGTGTGTTGTGTACTGCCATAGTTTAAAGGCAAGACACATACGTTTTATACGCCATTACAAAGGGTAATACCTTTATGTTTTTGGTGTTTTCTTTTATATGTAAGTATGTGTTGTTGTTGTTGCCACAACAATACAAAAGAAGGAAACTACAATTGTTGAAGCGGTGTAATAAAAACAAACATAAGATTGACAGAAAAAAACGGAAACAAAGGGATATAAAAACAATACTGAAAACACCAAACAAAAAGAATAAAAAATTCTTGATGTGAAAAAGAAAATCACGAACAACTTGTAAAAATTGTTTATAGAAGTAAAGGTAAAAACTTTTTTCTCAAAGATCCAACAAAGTGACCATTACTGCGACTAAACTTTAAACGGATTTTTTGTTCTAAAGTTTATTGCAAAAAAAAAAAAAAAAAAAAAAATATGTTCTTAATATCCGTAAGCATAGCCTAAAGTTTGGAAAAAAATTAAAAAAAATCGACGCTTATTGTACCCTCCACCACAGTATGTAGAGTATATTAAGTTTTTCATTTGGTTTGTAACACCTCGAAATGTACATTTTAGACCCCACAAAGTATATACAGGGTTGCCCATATTCGACGGACCCATCTGGCAACGCCATAACTTTTGACAGAGATGTCACATCGCTTAATGACATACCGCGTTTGAAGCGTCAGTCCAAGCAGATTTTTACCATGAACCAATATAAGCCACGCGAGCGCTCTAAAATTTACATTCAACAGAAGAAATCCATTGTGAAAACTCAACGTGCTTTAAAACATTAAAAAATGTGAGAAGTGCGCCTTCTAAGAAAACCATTATGCGTTTATTCGACTGGTAGGGCTCTTTCTAATCCGAAGAGGCCATATAAAAATCGAACAAGGCGGTCGGCCGAGAATATCGCTGCCGTACGAGCCAGTGTTGAGAGTTCCCCAAGAACATCCCAAAAACGCCGTTCTCAGCAGTTGGGCATGACTCGGTCCACTTTACAACGGATTATTCGCATTGATTTGCATTTGTTCCCGTACAAAATTCAATTGACGCAAAGAATGTTACCTGCGGACAAGCCTCGTCAATTGGAATGGGCCCAAAGGGCCCAAAGGCCCGTCGAATATGCGCAACCCTGTATATTCTTGATCAGCATAAAATTATATGTCGTCTGTGTAAATCATTCTAGCTTCCGAACGAATTGAAGTAGATTGATAAAATTTTACTCAAATGTATGTTATGTCTGCAGGACTTTTGGTATTGAAAATGGGCCATCATGTAGGTCCACGTTTTGGTACAGCCGCCATATAACGGTACCTTCCGATATTCGTTATTTTGATGATTTTAGCGACAATATTCATCGGAATCGTTTCAAATTTGGTATTCAAAGTTCGAAATGGATACTACAGCCTAATGTAGAAAATTGTCTGTGCAGGTTGGTTCACGTCTTCGTATAGCCCCCACTTTAACGGTTCCTCCCGATATTCGGTACTTTGTTGATTTTAGCGACATGATTCAACGGAATTCTTTCAAACTTGGTATTTGATGTTCATAACGGATGCAACAGTCTATGACAGGAGATTTTCTGTGCAGGTTCACGTCTTCGTATAACCCCCATATAACGGTATCTTCCGATATTCGGTATTTTAATGACATTAGCTATAATATTCACCGATTTTTTTTAAGTTTCGCATTCGAATATTGTAATGGATTATGACAAAAGTTATCTATGCAGGTCAATGTCGTCGTATAGACCCTCACATAATAACAACATTCGGTATTTTTAAGATTTTAATAGAATTTTTAACGGATGTCGAAAAATCTTTTTTAAAGTTTACATCGCAAAGTAACTCAAAACTTTTACTCTGTTGGCCCTTGACAAAATAATTCATAAAAACCCACAATTATTACAATGTTAGTCCATGAGGAAATATTGTTTTTTTGAATCGACGATTAGAATAATGTTTCTAGAATTCCCTCCACCCTTGTATTTCTGGACAAATATTTTTCTTAAAATGCCCTTTTGTAACGCTGCAAGTCCTACATTTTTAGTACAAGAAAACTCTGTTAGCCCTTGAACAAATATTTAAAAAAACCAGAATATTTATAATAACCTGCGCTTGAAGCTTCGCTAGTCTCTAACTCTTGACAAAATAATTCTTAAAAATCCACGATTATTATAATGTTGGTCATTGAGGATTTTTTTTTTAAATATCGACGATTAAAATAATATTTCTAGAATTCCCACCACCCTTGTATTTCTGGACAAATATTTTTCTTAAAATACCCTTTTGTAAGGCTGCACGTCCTATATTTTTAGCACTAGAAAAAAATTTAAATTCTGTTAGCACTTGAACAAATAATCAAAAAAAAAAAAAAAATCAGGATATTTATAATAATCTGAGTATGAAGCTTCGCTAGTCAATGGAAAATATTTTTACCTCTTCTGGTCGTTGGCATAGTGATTATAAGACTCTTTATGTATTCTTATTTGAAGCCATGTAAGTCCTGCAAAATTCTCTTTCTCAAATCCTCAAAATCCAAAAATATTTAATAAAAATCTGAGTTTCCTGGATAATGGAAAAATGTGTTTTAAGATTTAGGTTGGTGTCTCTGGTTGAACCTAAAACTAAAGTTAAGATAGTTCTTAAAAAACCACTATAAAAAAGGTCGTGCCAGTTCTTAAAATATATATTTATAAAATCCAAAATTACAGCTCTGTTTGGTCCTTGAAGAATCTCTTTAAAATTTCCATTGTTTAGTTCAAAAGGATTACAGATCTCTTAAGAAATTCTTTAGACCCCAATAAATATTTTTATTATTTCAAGGTTTTAGTACTGAAAGCCCATAACAAATCCGTTTGAAGTTCCATATTTATAGATTAAGGTTTAATTTACACTTTCCCGTTTGTAGATCTATTAATACTTGAATACGTTGTTTGTAAAAAAGGTCACATTTGTAAGAATTAGCATTTATAACACGGCCCAATAAAAACTTTTCTTTGATGTTAAGTCTGAAAAATATTTGAAATATTGTTCTTAAAAAATATTTAAAAACTGAAATTTTAAAATAAATTAAAAAGTGCATCTCACAATCCCACTGTCCCTGCCAAACTGAACAACAAATTGCCACACAAGTTCTCATAAATGCTGTCTGTTATTAAGGATTTGGGATTTAGGTTTCAAAACATTGCAACATAAGAAGAACAAAAATATTATTATTTTACCTAGAAATTATTTTACAAAAATATTTGCAATAATATTTAATGAAGTCTGGGAGGACATCAATACACATACATATACAGACAGCCACACCAACAAGTAAGAATAATACCATAATATTTTTCACACAAACAAACAGAGGCTAAAGACTATGGTAAATATTTTCATTTGCAGGATATATAATGAAATTATCGTGTGTTTGGTACAAAAATTATCACATGTCAAGCACAAAAGGACAGATACTGTTCAGAATATCCCTCTATCTCTCTCTCTCTCTCTGTCTCTCAATG